AAGCTTTTGTATTTTTCTAGCTGATATTAAATTACCTCATACTGTTTGCATGCATTTTGCCTCACTTGCTCTGTCTGCAGCGTGCTCTGTCAAAAGTTGTTTATTCCATTTCATTTTTCTGGATCTATAGAGGATGACAGTGCAAGCTAAATAACAAGCAGCATGATGATGTTAGCAGTAGCATACTTGTCTGTAATCATTCACTTCCCTTATTAATTTTTTGGGGGGGAGGACAGCGTTCAGGGTGAGAAACATGCCTTGCTGCCTCTCTTGAGTTGCTGGTCAGTACTTAATCACTTTGTTCCCTTGCAGACATAAAAACCAAAGAGGGTGCAGCAGAATTCTTTTTCTGCTTGCTTTTGAAGGTGAATTTTATCTATTCCTTCTTTTCAGACATTCTCCTACGCTATTACTACTGACTCATTTACACGAGGAAGGAAGGAAGATGCTAAAAATATAATCTAGTGCAGTCTTACAGTGCTGGTGACTGACTAGTGAGTGGAGGTGATAAATTCTCTTTCTGCACTTGCTTGCCATCTGTAGCATTCTTTCTGAAAGAAGTAGATAGCTATTACTTTGAAAAGTAAATGCTTAAATATTTCATATTTTAGAAGCAGTGCAGTGTCTAATTGCTGCATTATAATTACCCATTTACGGAAAACAATAATTTTGCAGGTCTGTTCACCCGCTCAGTTCTTCTTTTGTGTACAGGTTAGGTTCTTCTATTGCAAATTAACTGCTGCCAATATGAGAGAATTAAAAGCTCTGCTTTTCCCTTAGGTTGAAGCATGTCAGGGAGATTTAAGTACACTGGCAAACGTGGTGACTTCATTAGCAAATCTCAGTAAATGCAAAGACATGTCACAAAGCAGCACAGAGCTGTCTATGATTGAGAGTTTAAGTAATGGAGATGCATCATTATCTGAACTCCAGCAAGAAGAACAAGCTAGTAGCGATGTTACAAGGTAAGGCGTGTCACACTTTAAAATATTACTGTTTTCAAGAAGATCTCTGTCAATTCATACCATTAATTAAATCATCACATAGTAGAAAATTTATCTGGATTTTAAAATAGTAGTAATAACAGCCTAAGCTCATGCAGAACACAAATCTTGTAAGATTCTTCCAAAAGAAATCCATTTGAGAAATACTTTTAGTTGTTTGTACTTGAAATGAAATTCAGTGTAAATGTTACAGCACATTTTTCTTACTTTTTCATTGGCCTTTATAATGTTTGTTAGATCTTGTACTATGGTCTTAGTACTTTGCGTCATCATGGAAATCTTAGAGATCTCATCGTATAAGTAGTTTAATGCCTGTAAGTATTAATTGCCTTAAAAGCTTGAAAAGCATTTTTTTGCAGAAGTTGACAGGTTCAGTGTGAGCCGACAGTGCACTTGCGCAGCTCAGAAGGCCAGCCCTGTCCTGGGATGCGTTAAGAGGAGTGTGGCCAGCAGATCAAGAGAAGTGATTCCCCCCCTTTTTGCTCTTGAATACTGCATCCAGTTCTGGGATCCTCACCATAAGAGGGATATGGATCTGTTGGAACAAGTTCAGAGGGGGGCCACAAAGATGATCCAAGAGCTGGAGCACCTCTGCTACGAGGACAGTTTGAGGGAGCTGGGTTTGTTCAGCCTGGAGGAGACTCCAGGAGGACCTTATAACTGCCTTCTGGTACCTGAAAGGAGCCTACAGGAGTGTCCAGTCATAGAGAAAGGGGAAATGGATTTAAATTGAAGGAGAATAGATTTGGATTGGATCTTAGAAGAAATTCTATAAGTATGAGAGTGGTAAGATTCTGGAATAAATGGCCCAGAGAGCTTGTGGATACCCAAGGAGGTGTTCAAGCCAGGTTGGATGAGGCCTTGAGCAACCTGGTCTAGTTGAGGGCATCCCTGCCCATGACAGTGAGGTTGGATTAGATGGTCTCTAAGGTCTCTTCCAACCCTTCCAGCCATTTTGTGATTTCTCTTGTGGTCTCTGTTGCCTTGCATAATTACAAGCAGGATGCATTTGTTCCGCTCATTTCTTTGTATGCTGCTTAGAAAGTCCATGTGACTTTATGTATGTGCTGATTTGGGCCTCTGCTGTGTCCTCCAAGGTAAAGGATGTGAGAATATGTCTGGGTAAATACTATTGTTGTGCTCATAAACTTCACTCAGTACTGTGGCTGTGCAAAAAGATGTAGTAATCTTTCATTTCTTTCCTTCTTGGTGCTTTCAGGTGCTTGTTTTTGCCAACTTTGTTGTTTCTGTTCAGTTTTAAAAACCTGTCTATGAAAAGGCATCAAGTTCTCTCAGCCAGAGAGCTTGAAGGAGCTCTGACTCAGCTTAAAGCTTACTCTTGTCCAGTTGGTTACCAAACGAATTTCCAGTGAGAAGGTTCAAGTTAAATATTCCCATGGAAGGGACATGTTATCCAAGCAGAAGCTAAAATCTTTGATTTCCTTGCCAGGCCCTCTGCCAGCTTGATCTGACAGACAAAGATGTTTACTGAAGAAAAGGATTTTAGGGGATTTCAGGAAGCAAGTTTTATCCAGCCATGTTTTTCATGTATTTTATTACACTCCATTGCTTGCAGCTACAGCAGTTAAGGTTTCACTTTTGCCAACACAAATTTAGTGCACAACTTTGCTGCTAGCGTTCTGCTGCTTTTCTGTTGTACCATTACATGCCTTGCCCTTGAAAGACTTCATTATCTATATTCATTTTTCAAATATTTTTCATGTGACACTGTATACAAATGATACTGCTCTCAGGATATCTCGTCTGTCTGTAGGCAGTGATCAAGTCTGAATAGTTTTGATTGAAGATATATCAGTTGTGTTTCTGAGGTGTATTTGTGAACAGAAAAACAACAGATCTGTTATCAGACAGCAGAATTATGAGTGTCTTGTCCTGAGATCTCCCCGTAATATCTGTGCACATGACAGGAGTTGCTGCCCCACATCAAATGGCACTGAGGATGGTATTGAAAGTATGAGAATGCTTTCTCCTATATATTTTGAAAGTCTTTTCAAAATAAGTTGAATAACTTAATCACAGCTTGTTACTTTAAAAAACCAAATAGCTTGTTCTGTGCTTCGAAGTAGCAAAAATCTGTAAAACTCATGTATATATTAAGCTGCTTTAACAAGAGTCTGATGATCATGTCCTCAAAACACTCATGCCAGCTCTCGCAGTAAGCATCACTAAAGAGATCTTGAAAGGCAAACTGTGATTCAGCCGCAGAATCAATATGTCAAAACTGTGAATTTGTTGGCAACTAGTGTGAAGAGGATCTGCTACTAATTTTTGCTTCCACTATAAGTTGGAGTTTTCAGGGATTTTGATCAGTGGAGCATCAGGAAAAACATGCTACTGACTTTTTGTTTTCCATATCTGGTTCTTTGAAATAAACATTTAAATATAGGTTTCAGACATGTGCAGGTTCCTGAATTGAAACGGTCTCTATAATGAGATTTTTTTTTTTTTTTTTATCTTACAGGGCATTTGATACTCTTGCCAAAGCATTAAATCCAGGAGAGAGTCCAGCATGCCAGAACTCTGAAAGTATTGAAGCCAGCGTACAGCTGATGGGTGGAGAAACAAGCATGAATATTGTCGAAATAGAGGGGCCACTACTCAGTGATGCACATGTGGCATTCAGGGTACTTGGCACTTTTTTACTGCTGACTAGTTATAACCATTTCAACGTAGTAACACAAAATAATGGTCTGTTTAAATCTATTTTGAATTTCTTAGAAGAGCAACTGTTTGTTCAGGTATTGCCATTCGTTTCTGATGAGTGTCCCACTTTTGTTCACTGGTTCACTATTTGTCTGAAAATGTTCGTCTCTCTTTGGTGGTTGAGCGGCTCTGTTTATTTTATAGCTTTTACCTTAAAAATATTAGATAATCCACGGAAAAGGACTTACACAGACGAGTGTCACACAAAGCAGAGAGTCAACATCCACATTCTCACTTGTTACCAGGTGGTTCTGATGCAATTTGCAACTGGATTTTGAGGCTCTTAAGTGTATTTTCCAGTTTCTCGTTTGTATATACCCTATTTTATTATGGTATTAATTGACTTTAATGATAAAGGGAAATTATAGCTTCTTTTTTAGTGAGCCATCTATTTTCTGGCTTTATTTCTCATTTTACTCATTTTTCTGAAAACTTCTGTGGTACCAGGCATTTTATTAAACGTTGCCCAACTCTTCAGCACATGTTTTGATCACTCAAAGAAACACCTCTCTAATGCACATGTCAGGATCTTTTTAAAGATTGTGTTAGCCAAACCGTTATATTAAGATGTATCAATTTCTGACAATAAAACCACAACACTATAGTTGGCAGGTTTGGGTCAAATCCAACTTTCTTCACATATGCAGGTAACGCCACTGATTTTACTTATGTACAGTGAGCAAGGCAGAGCTGGTCCGTTCTGACATATATGGATTGTATTTTTAGGAGTTGGGAGCAGCTGTTTATTAGATATTTTGCTCACACATCCAAAGATTTTTGATGTGTAAAATGTTAATTAAAAGTACAAAAAAGAGATGTTTTGTGAAATAGAATTCACACATATGCACTCTCCCCATAGACTGTGGTGACTCCCTATAATTTTTCAGTCCACTTACTCCACTGCTCTGGGGGAAGCTTTAGAAAGTAATCATGTTTCTGTGTTTGTATTTTTTATGTGTTTATCTCTCTATAAATGTAACAACTTTATTCTAATTACAGTGATTCTTCTAAAATTGTTATTTAAGAGTGTCTCAAAAGTTGAGTTTCATTTGGGGTTTTCCATCTCTGGGTGTCCCAGACATGAGTATTTTTTAATATGAATATCTTTATCTAATATAAAGATTCATATTTTTTGCCTTTTTTGTTGCTTTGTAGTTACTATAGGGTATAACAGTGTGGCTAATAATGAAAAAGACAGTAGTTCAGTTTTATTTCAGCATTATTTCATGTTCATTTAAAAAAAAACAATTTTACTGTTTTGCTTAGAAGAAACTCTGATTTTTTTTTCTTACCATGTTTTTTGTGAAGAACATAAAATAACTGGCTTGCACTTTTTTCTTTTTGGTTGCCAGCTCACTATGCCTTCTCCTATGCCTGAATATCTTAACGTTCACTATATCTGTGAGTCTGCCTCCAGGTTGCTTTTCTTGTCTATGCACTGGGCACGTTCCATTCCATCTTTCCAAGCTTTAGGGTAAGTGTTCAGTTACTCTTTTCACTCATATTGTGAATGCGCACTTTTAAATATTTTTTTCATCTTCTTTAGGAACACTTTAAATATATATATATATATATACTTATTAAAACTATTTGCTAGATCTTCATCATGAAGGTAAATTTTCTCAATCACAACTGCTCCCAACTTCAGTCCAATTTAGATAGTTTGGTTGGATTTTGAAGGAAAAAGGAGTAGATTTGTGACAATCAAATGACTGCACACTTCTACTTCTTTCATAGATTTTTACTTCTACTTCTTCATATATTTTTAGTAAATGAGACTTCTGTGATTTTGTTAACGGGTACACCCAAAAACAGATGCTTATCAGGCAGTCACCAAAAAGAAGCTCCTCTCTGGATCCCCAAATATTGGTAACTTTAGAGGTGAATTAGAAGGAATAATTTTGCCTTTAATAACCTATTTGAAGAAAATAGTTAGCTAGATACAGCAAGCATTCAGGCTAAAATCATTTACTTTCAGGGAATTTTTCAAAAACAAATGGTTGCTGTAACCAGAAAGTAATTCTTACTATTCTTCTTACAGTTTTTATAATATTCTGCTTTTCCAGCAGAAAATTCTTAAGCTAAGTGTAGTAGTCCCTTGCCAACCATCATGAGAAAAAATTTCAAAACAACATGGGGAAAAGGGATTTCTGTTATTTTCAGAAGTAATTTTCTGAAGATGCATCAAACAAAAAAAGCTACTCTGTATCAGCTCTGACACAAAGGGAGTATAAATCATACTTGCTTGTTCTCGTCTACAGTGATTTTCTTTAATTCACTATCAAAATAGTGACGAGAACTCTTCTTTTAAGTGAGGGATTGTCCCCTTTTCCAGAAAGGCTGTCAAAAGCAGGATGATCTGTGATTCCCACTTGTTTTTGTTCAGATGGTTAAGCCAAATGATTCCACACTGTTCAAGGAAAAATACTATATTGTCTGTAACTGAAGCCTGTGTTGTGGAGAAGGAAAAAGTAAAATTCTATAAAGTTAAACAATAGCAAAAGTAAAATAAACAGGTAAATATGATGTTTTGTTTTAGTAGAAATTGTTGCCCAGCTGAATTTCAAAATATGTAGCAAATTAACATAGTCCATTTTATCATTATACAAAGTTTTTTGTAATGGAGAAATGCTGTAAATTAGTGTTATAACAACAAGTGGGAATTGCTTTTTAAAAACATTGTTTTTTACATGTCTCCAAAAAGCTTTTAAAAGAAAGGCATATGGAAAATCTGCATATTTTTTAATATGTTACTTTAAAAAATATTTTTGTTTGTATAAAAAAATAGAGGAGTAGACTGTATTAATAGTGTTAATATTCACCTCTGCCACCATTTACAGTCCCAGTCAAGATCATGGGCAGCAGTGTACTTAAACACCATTTAACATAAATGTACGGATTTCCTTTTGAAGAGCTTAAAATACTCAATTTTTTCAAATGGAGATTTTTTTGAAATCAACATAGCTTTTTTAGTTTGAGCACATTATGTACCATAATTTTGGCTTTGAGAAGGGTGACTCATTTCACTTTTAAAATTAAATTTGTGGTACTAGTGGTTGAGGGAAGTCTATGAGCCAAAGCAAAACCGCAGTAATGGTTTTGTAAGGAAAACAGATAATTACATCTGGGTGATTTCCTCCTCAGGCAGTGTTTTCCTTAGTCATGGCAGAGACTGGGCTTCGGCATATTTATGTGATTAATGATATACCAAGATATTGAATAGTTCATCTTCCTGCACGAGGATCTTTGTGGACAAGAGAGATTCCCACTGAAACATTCATCAACCTGCTCGTGGCCTTTTAGTTTTCTGAGGCTGCTGAAGTTTGATCAACTGGTTCTGGTCCAAATTTGATCGGCTATGAAAGTGCTGCAGACACTACATTTATCTACAGACATGACAGCTGAGTAGCCAGTTCAACCAGTTTTCAGTATTCACCTCAGGAGATGAAGGGCATATGACAAGTATGAGTAGAAGCTGCACATACAGTAGCATGTCTACCATAACAAGAACTTGATCATAGTAAAAAATATTGCCCTGGGGAAGCTCTCAGTAATCCAGTACAGGACAAGTCCACATTAATCTGTTTGGGATATTAGTAGCGCAGCAAATCATCAGAAATGCTCTTGAAGATGACTTCAATGTTCTTGCAAAACCCCATTCCATTGTATTCCTGTAGCTGAATATGCATTTCTTCTTTGATAGGTCTTGTGCTTCCTTTAAGTTTCCATTATTTATATTTACTGGCTAAAACTGAAACAATGCTACCTGAATTTGACTCCTCACTGGTAGGATTTCCTTTTTAAGGTACTGAGCTCTTGTTAAGCTCCACAAGTTGAGAGATGCTGCTTGGCACTACTGAAGGTTAGGTTACTAATATGAAGGAGCCTGAATATGAATTGACGTACCTAATTTTAAGCTTCAGCATTTGAAAAAAATTACTATAGCCAAAGCTTAATTTCAGGACTAATTCTTAGAGCAGAGAAACCTTCATAACTTCTATTTGTGCTTTGAAGTCTGTATTTTAAACCTTATTACGAACATGAAGGGGATACATAACACAGCAGTCAGGAAGCTCAGGAACTTGATCTCACATGTTCCATTTCACGTGTTTTTTTAATTAAAAAAATATACCAACCTGACAGATTTCAAGAAAAAAAAAGGAGACCTGTGAGTCTATTTCACATCCAGAATACCAGAAAATGCAAACTTCTTTTTGTCTGTGCAGGTAAAAGTCAAATATTAGTGTAAATCCTAAGAAAACTGGCACAATCAAATACACCTAGACAGTTGTCATTTACTATAACTTCAGCTGGCTTTTGTGATAGAAATCTATCTCCATGCACACCATGAAAACAAAAATTACTTCTTTACAAAAAGTCACTCTGAAACAGGTATCTTAATCTTAGCCTGCAAATAAAAATACTTTTGACGCAGGTCTTTATTTTGGTACTGGTTACAGTGGTTGAATTGGGTAAATGTTTTATGAAGTGTTCTTCAAATTAAAAAAAAAAAACAACTATGAGAATGCAAATGGCTGGTTTTATTAAGTGAAACTGTTGTGTTTTTTAATAGACAGGATAACAGCATTTCATTAGTAAAAGCCTGCTGGAACGAACTTTTTACGCTTGGTCTTGCACAGTGTTCACAAGTTATGAATGTGGCAACTATCTTAACTGCGTTTGTTAACCACCTTCATGGCAGCTTACAGCAAGGTAAGGTGTGTGCTGTGTGCACGGCCACACTCGGGGAATTGCTTCATGGTTTTTAAGTGTTGAACTGCACAGAAGCTTTTTACTTATCCTTCAGCTGTCAATCAGAATTTACTGTTTACACAGCTTCATGGTTAGTCTTGAAATAAAATAATACTAGAAAATACAGTTCACAAGGTGGAATTTTTTAGCAATTTTGCCAAAGTTTGCAGCTATGCTAATACTTAGTCCAAATGAAAAAGAAAAATTAAATTATCCATCTGTCTAATACAGGTTAGCATTTACTGGGATCGTTTCTGTTGTGTGTCTGCGTTAGTGTCTAATAGTATTCTGCTGTTCTGTTAACACTGTCAGCTCAAATTAGGAATATTTGAGGCATCATCAACATTAAAAACATGCTTTTACTGGAAATACGATTCCTCTATATTGAGGGTATAAAGGAAAGAGCGACCCACCTGTCCTCACTGCGTTTGTAGCTGCGAAACCAAGCAGCCAAATGCCCTCTTGGTGATACTTTTCCTTTACGTAACTCGGCTTGTTGGCTTCTATGTACTGGGTTTAGACTACATGCAAATCTCCAACAGTTCTTCAGTAATTGGACTTTATTGCTTATTAATCCTATGTCCTGCACCTTTTGCATCTTTTTCACTCAAATGAAAGAGATGTCAGTTGGTCTCCTCTCTCATTTACTCTGCAGTAAAGGGGAATGTTCTTCTGAGCAGTACAGGAGTCTTTAGCTAATCTTCTTTTGTGGGCTTCTGAATACTCTCAAGGCACTCAAAAGCTAACCAAGCAAAATTAGTATAGTCTTCATGTGTTTGTAGGCTTAACACATTTTTAATAAGGTCGATGCACATACAAAAATCTTACCATTTTCAGGTGTAACTAGGTTTCTGGATTATATGCTGTTATGTGTATGAAAATTCACCTTTGTTACTGCTATGCAGAAACAGGTTGTTAGGCTATAGAAAAACAGCCCACCAGACGATGGATTTTTCTCTCTTCTTACGATGAGAATTAAAGAATTATTTCTGAGGATTTCCATGATTTAAAAATATCCAGAAGATCCTTCTATACGTAACAATAGTTTATAATTATACCAAATTGATGAAATTGCTAAATATGCTGGATCAGCTAAAGATACTAACAACCTGTGAATGTCTTTAGAATGGATTCAAACAGAATTCAGAAACTTAATTTGGTTTACTTAGTTTTTAAGCATGTTCACCAAAAATGTAGTAATTAATCATGGTTTTATCATTACTACAGATATATATCTTTGAAATTTAATTTGGGTGTTAAGTTTGAATGCAAAATTCAGAAATTTAAAACCAGTTTCTTCCAGTTGTGCAGTATGCCAGCTGCAGCATCGCCAAGAGATAACAAATTTTCGGTCCCCAGGGACCCCAGCCTGATGGATTGTAGAGGGAATGGGAACTGGAGGCTGCTTAGCTCACCCAAGGAGAGTGGCTCTGCACCATCCACATTCCCCTAGATGTAAATCAGCAAAGGCGTAGGGTGCACCCTCTTCTTCAGCTGTGACATGGCCTGGTCTTCAACTAAAATAATCTATGAAGCTGTGCACTAACCCGCCTCATGCCTCCTGACCCCTAGGGCTAGAGCACAGATTGGCAGTAGCCATGTATTCTTCAGCTTATAAGTAGCTTTTCCCTTCCTTTGTCACTTACAAACTCTAGATGACCAGATTGCTGGAAGCTTCAGTGGCTGGAAGAAAACTAATTGTGCAATGTGAGGTGGGGGGGAGGAAAAAAAAACACACTATAGTTTATAATTGTTGATGTCAAGATCATTCAGACCTGGTCTGTGATTCTTATAGGTGGCATAAATTTTGCACTGTTTGAATCTAACAAAATTGTTATTTTTAAAAATCCAGTGTGGCCACATTTTTGCATGTGTGTTGACCTTGTGGTTTTTATATTTGTGGGTGTGTTGACTTAGATAAGCTGCCAACAGACAGAGGAAAACTAGTTATGGAGCACATCTTCAAACTGCAAGAGTTCTGTAACAGCATGGTTAAGCTTTGCCTAGATGGATATGAATATGCGTATTTGAAAGCAATCGTCCTCTTCAGTCCTGGTACGTAATAATTCCAAATGTAAACCTTCGTGCTGCTTTTTGCCATATAACTTCTGTCTGTTTTATTATAAGTGGTTATGGTCACCTGTAGAACTACTGCCTTGCTTGTTGAGGGATCTTGGAAGGTGTGTAATAAGGACTGTAGGAAGAGAAGGGTTAATATTTTCATATAAATAGTTGAATGCTGCTTTGGGACTTAAGTTTTACTCTTGCCTCTGCCATTGATATTTTGATTTTGGTTTGGTTTTTTGTGGAGTTTGGGGTGGGTTTTTTACTTTATTTGTTGATTCATTTTAATTCTGTGTCTCCTTTCTGGGGTACTTCTGTGGACCTGCAGTTTAATTTTCACAAGTGTTGCTCTTGCACATCCAGCTGAGACGGGCTGAAGTTGAGTTTTTAACGTATGAAAGACTGTCTCTGGGCATCGATTCTCACATGCAAAACTACAGAAACATACCACCTCACTTCACATGGGTATTTTGAAAATGAATATTGCATAGAGCATTTGTGGTGAATGAACACCACAAGCATTCCCTTATATTATTATTTCTGACTTCTGGACGCAAATATTTGCCTAATGTATTCAAGATAACATTAATGGACATAGATTAGGCAGTGAAGATAATGATTTTTCTTTCTGAGAGATCACTCTACAATATGAAGGAAGAAGAGTCCTCTTGTTACAGTAGAGAGTAACTGAGTACTTACGTTATGTAACATATGCCTGGACTGCAGAAAAATATAAAATTAACTTTCTTTATTTGAAAATTGTAGAATTAACTTTTCGGTATACATCAGTATACTGCAAAGCTTAGATTCATCATTCAGAATTTAGGGATTTAGTATAAAACCCAAACCAAATCTTTTGATAAAAGAAAAAATATATAAACCGCAAATACTTTCTGTATCTCCAGGAATTTTTCACTGTCACATTTAGAAAATAAATCATCAGTCACTCCAGTTTGCATTAGAAAATTGTAGAAACAACAACAGCTCCTTTATTCCTCATTGCTCTGCTGTTTTTAGATGTTGATGGCCCATAGAAAAGATCAGAGCAAACTTTAAAAATCTGTCTGCATCTTAGTGACATGCTCCCATCAGTAGTGTAGGATATGGAGGAGGAACTGGATTTTTGGTTCCTGGTAGTTCTGCACATGTATTAAATCTGAGAAGAACTTTCTTCTTCTGTTCAGTTGCATTTCACCCTTTCAGAGAAAAATTAGTTGAGGTGAGAAAATCTTTGGGAACTTGGACATTTCCAAGATATAAATTTTAAGCAGGTTTTCTAATACATACGTATCTAAAAGAATGGTGAGGTTCTTGCTTTGCAGTTTCTCTCATATTTACAGGATTTTTTTCCATATGTAGTATCTATAGGGAGTAGATACAGTGGCAGCATCAACATCCGCAGGGAATTCTGGAGTTT